AAATACTGCTTCCCTTGAAAAATACTGCTTCCCTTGAAAAATACTGCTTCCCTTGCAAAATACTACTTACCTTGCAAAATACTGCTCACCTTGCAAAATACTGCTTACCTTGCAAAATACTGCTCACCTTGCAAGATACTGCTTACCTTGCAAAATACTACTTACCTCGCAAATACTACTCACCTCGCAAAATACTGCTTACCTCACCAAATCTATTTACCATGCAAAATACTACTTACCTTGCAAAATACTGCTTACCTTGCAAAATACTACTTACCTTGCAAAATACTACTTACCTTGCAAAATACTACTTACCTTGCAAAATACTACTTACCTTGCAAAATACTACTTACCTCGCAAAATACTACTTACCTCGCAAAATACTACTCACCTCGCAAAATACTACTCACCTCGCAAAATACTACTCACCTTACCAAATACTACTCAACTTGCAAAATGCTACTTACCTTGCAAAATACTACTCGCCTTGCAAGATACTGCTTACCTTGCAAAATACTGCTTACCTTGCAAAATACTACTCACCTCGCAAAATAATACTTACCTTGCAAAATACTGCTTAATTCACCAAATCTATTTACCATGCAAAATACATCTCACCTTGCAAAATACTTCTTACCTTGCCAAATACTACTCACGATACCAAATACTACTCAACTTGCAAAATACTACTTACCTTGCAAAATATTGCTTACCTTGTAAAATACCTTCTTGTAATTATTATTTCTGACCGTTTTGCAATTGTATTTTTTTAGATTCTCAAATCGAATGCAGCATTTACAATTCAAATTTGCGTTGGGATTACAATGATACTATGTAACAATGTGAGCGCCAGTGAGCACCTGTGTGTGCACAACTTTGCCAAAATAAAAAGCATGAACACTGCTATAACCAGACTTGTAGGAGGTAATACATTTGGGGCAAAAGTATTCAAAAATGTTTTTGCTTTTGCCATGGCAGTTAGTGGAATTTTTTTCTGATTAGTGTATGACCTGCCTGCCAAGTTTGAACCAAATTTGCCCAGCCAAAACAATCACAGAAGAGTTAAAATGCCGTTCTTGGTGAGCAGTTACCCAAAATTTGGGGTCAAATTCCTTTGTAATTAAAAAAAATAACAAAAAAACAAATAGTAACTTTGTTCCCATATTTAAGCTGAGTAGAATGAGCTATGTCCAAGGTGTTTAATCCTAAATTTGTTGGAGGAGATGCATTTAATGCAAAGCTATTCAAAAATCAGTTTTTAGCGTGTGTTCGTCTGTGCGTTTATGCGTCCGTCCGGAGTCGTATCTCAGAATCCCTTGGACCGATTCTGTTCATTCTTTGCATGTGCCAAGTACTTTATGTGGGACATATGCACGTGCAGTGGTTTAGTGATTCG